ATTGAAAAATGATAAGTCATAAGATATTACATTACAATTAATTTTTAATAAAAAGTAACATTAATATTTTTTTAATAAAAAGTAAATTTATTATAGTATTTTTTTACTTTATATTCGTCAAAATTGATTTTTATACGTAACATTTTAAAGATTTCCAAATTATATTGATATAATTATTATTAAAAAATCTCCTAAACCAAAAAAATATATATGTTAAAAAATTGAAGTAGATAAAATATTAAAAAATAACAATTTAAAAATGGAACTTAAGAATAAGTGATATGATAGTTTAAAATTTATAAGTATTTTATTTTAATACTTTAATAATATAAAATAAATATATTTTTATAAAACCAATAAATGTATATAAATAATTGAAGTAGATAAAATGTTAGAAAAATAATAATTTAAAAATAGAACAAAAGATTAAGTGATATGATAGTCTAAAGTTTATAAGCATTTTATTTTAATACTTTAATAATATAAAATAAAAATATTTTTTAACTTTATTTATAAAACAATTTTCTTCATTTACATTAAAATATTTATTCCTTTTATGGTTTTTTTGAATTTGAAATGTATGATAGGGGAAGTTTTATAGTTAATAATACTAATATAACTATAAATTAATTTTAATAATTATTTTATCATTAATATGTTTTAATTGTAAATTATTTGTATAACTTCTTTAATTATTAAAATCTCATTTAAAATATTTACTCTTTATAACTTCTGTAAATTGTAAAATATTTACTCTTTATTTTTTTCAAACTTTAATTCTTACATTATAAAGGTATCATATTTACTCTTTATATTTAACTCAACATTAATATATTCACGCAAAAATAATCTCATATAATGATTTTTTTTAAACAAATGACTTTTTTAATTATTAAAACGTATCTATCTATTTAAAATACAATCTCAAATTAATTTGTAAATTTTTTACTAACTTAATTTAATGTCTAATGATACAAATCCTATAAATTATTCTATACAAGAATTTTCCTAAATCATTAAAATATTTAATATTTTTATTTATTTATGAATAAATAACTAAATCTTATGTTTATGAAAAAAAATTATTCAAAAAATTAACTATTAAATAAATAGTTATGTAACAATTTCAATATCATCTAATTCTCATAACTATTGGCCCATTATAAGTTTTTTAACCCAAAAAGAAAATATTGTCTTAAACATACAACGAATAAATTAATGAAAACGTTTAATTATAAGGGACTTAAGTAATATACAAAGACACATCTATATTTTAATTGAGTTGTATGTTATAATTATATAACCATATAATTAATGAATTAAATTGGAGTGCTTTAGAATGTGTCACGAAGGAAATGGGTTTCCCTAACAAATTCATTCAATGGACTATGCTAGGCATCACCACTGTGTCCTACAGATTTAACATCATGAAGAAATACACTGATATTTTGCAGGCCAAAAGGGGAATTCGACAGGGTGATCATTTATCACCTATGCTCTTTGTCCTTATAATGGAGTACATGAACAGGCTGTTGGTGAAAATGCAAAGAGATCCTAATTTCAACTACCATGCCAAATGCGAGAAGCTGAAAATCACCAACCTCACTTTTGCGATTTTTTGACCTATATACCCTAGTTTGAAACCCTAAATACCAAAACACCCCAGTTTGAAATATATTTACGTCATACCCTACTTTTGGAAGAGTTCGTCCAACAGAAGGACGAACTAGGGAAAAGCATTGAAGACGTTCGTCCAATGAAGTGGCGAACTGGCAGAAAATACCAGCATGAGTGAGTTCGCCCATTGAAAGGGCGAACGTGTGAAGGTTTTTTTTTTTTTTTTTTATTTTTTCAGATTTTCAAATAAATATATTTAATATTTTTAAATACATTAATTTCAAATATATTAAATACTTCTAATATATCTAATTAATTTTAAAAAAAAATATTTAATATAAAACATATAAAAATTTTGTATAAAAATTAATAAAGTAGAATTTTTAATAAATTAGGAGTATTTTATTTTTTATTAAATTAATCTACTATTTAACATGTGAAAACTATTTAATATAAAACATATAAAATCTATTTAATTAAACTAATAAAAAATATATTTAATTAATTTAAAAAAAAAAACTATTTAATATAAAACATATAAAATCTGTTGAATTAATTTAATAATAAACGTATTTAATTAATTGATCAAATAATTGACAAGAATAAAATTTCAAGATTTAATAGTTACAAAAAAATTGATTACTTAAATATACATATCATCGAAGATGACCCCCAGTTCCACACCTAGGGGCCCTTCTCTGTCGGTGTCCTCTCCCCAAACGCTCGTTTGCAGATGACTGAGACGAGTCGGAAGACAAATCTTCATTGTGATGTGTTGTCGGGGGGTTTGTCTGCCTTGTAGAGGGTCCTGATTCATCATCTAGAATATCTTCGATGTTAAAATCTGGCATCTGCATCAGTTGCTCCTCTGTCAGTAAGAATTGTTGGAATGAATGTGTTGGTTGTGGTGGGTGTGGGTAGGTTTCGGCTTGGGTTTGTTGAACGGTTGGGATGTAGACGTCATCAGGCGTGAAGGCGGGTTGTGAGAAGGTAGTGTTGAAGGTAGGATTTGTAGGATATTGGAAATAAGGGTTGCTCTGGTCAAAGTTGGGGGCTGTGCATGGGGTGAACTGTCTGGGTGGTCGGAGGTAGGGTTGGGGCTGATATTGTTGGGTGAACTGGGGGAAGTTATAGTTATGTTGAGCTGACGAGGATGGGTACCCCCAAAATTGAGAGGTGGTGGTTGGTGGGGCATCTGGATGCATTGATGCGGCAGTTGGTTGTGTCGATGATGATGGTTGCGTCCGAGGGTCGGTCAGAAATTGATCTGGAGCAACATGGACATAAGGAATTGCGCGGAACCAAGTTAAATACTGTTGACTTGGCTTGCGTTCACCTAATACAGAGTCCCCCTGCAAAATCACATGTCTTCTGTGTCTCCATTCTCGGACCTCGTCCTTATTTAACTGTTGCCAATGAACCTTTTGCGCTTTTCGCATGGTCATTGCGTGTTGATCCTTTAGACACTTAGGAAGGGGAGGGATTTGTTGGTCTACTCCAAACTGGAGTGTTACCCTATCTGTTTGATGCATCTCAACGATGTAAAAACAAATAAGGTATGTTGTGGCACTCCAGATTTGGCTATCTTCTAGACGCGGGACCGGGTACTGAATGTACGGCCTCCATATAAACTGTCATATAACAAAGAAAATTAAGATGCCATTAAATTGAAGAACCGACCACGATTTTCACTTGGTTTAAAACTTACATCTTTTTCTTGCATATGGTCCAACGCGTTACGATATCCTTGAAGATGGAAACGAGGAGTTGCACAGTAATTCATTCCTCTTTGTGCCCATCTTGTACAATCAAAAACAAAATAATGTTAGACATATTTGAATAAGAAATATATATATTTTACGTACATAAATATGAGTATTATATTACATGAATACCTTTGTGCATATGGATACGAGGGTTCCACCGTGCTGACAGGAACGAACAATGGGATGCGTGTGAATGCCCAAGAAGTTAGTAGGAGAGCACAACCACTCATGCTCCTAACTTCTTTTTCTGCTGCCTTGCACATTTCTCTGTACAATTTTGCAAGGCATGCAGAACCCCAACTATATTTTCCACATTCAATGAGATCCCCCACAAAAGGGACCCAAGAAGAATGCAAAAGGTTTTGAGTTTTGTCAGGAAACAAAATTGTTGCGATCACGAGTAAAATAAATAATTTGGCTTCTAATAAAACATCTTCTTGAGTCGGGTTTTCTTTGTTTTTTAAATTTTCATACTCACTTTCAAGCCAAGTTATCCTAACAAAACCTTTCATTTTATCTTCTTCTTTTGGTTCCTTCCCCAAGTAATCCATGTAAATAGAACTTGTTACCTCGGTGGGACCGTTGATAGCTTTGCCATCAACTCGTAGACCTAGTAACATACATGTATCTTCAAGGGTTATGGTGCATTCACCTGTCGGCAAATGAAATGTGTGGGTCTCGGGTCTCCATTTCTCCAATAGAGCAACAACTAGGCTTGAGTCGATTTTCAAACTGTTTATTTTTGAAATGTGTGTGAATCCTGCGATCTCAAGATAAGGCATTATTCTATCATTCGCTCGAACAGGAGAATGTGAATGCACCCTAAACCTAGGGGCATTAATCTGCAACAATATTAAACAAACATTAGTTAGTCACAATTGTTACGTCGAAATAATAATTTGACAAAGAACAACATATAGAATTTGAAAAACTTACACTGTTATTGATATTTTGTTGTGTTCCACGGTGCTCATCGCCCATCCATAACAATGTCATTTTAGTCGGGTAAAAATTGCAAGATAGTAGAGGAATAGAAGTGAGAATTGCTAGGAAGTAGAGAGAATTAGTAAAAATGTTGTGTAAATTTTGGAGGTAAATAATTTGAATATATAGTAGTGTGTATGAAAATAAAATGTTAGGGTAAAAATATTTTAAAGTCATAGATTGAAGAGACCTTTGCATGGCACCTACTCTTTTTTTGCATGCATGCAAGGCTAGCTTCTTAGACAATGTCGTATGCATGTGAAACAATTTTTACAGACCCTCACAAGTTCGCCCATGGGTGGGAAGAACCAAAGATTCCCCTCACATGTTCGCCCATGGGTGGGACGAACCAAAGATTCCCCTCACATGTTCGCCCTTTTGGTGGACAAACCAAAGGCAATGTTCTTGGAAAGTTCGCCCTTTGAGTGGGCGAACTAGTGAGACTTAAATTTTGATAGTCGTTTCCTTTGTATGTATCTTTGAATCACTATATTATAAACCTCTTTTATGCATCAATTACCACAACCAAACTCCCCAACATTCAATCATACACCTCTACAAAAATTCAAGCTCCCCAACATTCAATCTTACACTACAAAAAAAATTTAAACTTCTCAAATTTCAAACTCCAAAATGTCACAGAGAAACATAATTACCACATGTCACTTTAACGGTGTTGTTTCGACAAACACTCCTGTTGGATTCTCGTTCAGCAATACGGATACATACGCCTTCAAAATTCATGTCAATTCAGATTTTTTTCATTTTAAGGATAGAATGGAAAAAAAATTGGCACAAGGCGTTGAGGAAATCATTTATCGCCATCCCACCCTTAATGAAGACGACTGTACGATTTTTTACATTATGACGCCAATCAAAAACGACGACGATGTGAAGGCCATGTTTCGGTGCCACATGATGTTTGGTCAGTTACCTACAATTGAGGTGTATGTCAGACTACAACACAATCCCGAAACATTGCAAACTCAGGAGACCCAGTCACACTGGTACGGGATGAGCCAAACATCTGACGACGAACCAACGCAAAACAATTTACCTTTCATACCAGATGAGGAGGTTGGAGAATCAAGTGATGACGATATTTATGAGGAGATCAGGATGCAAGATATTTTTGGTGACAGCGGTGATGAAGACAATGAAGACGAAGATATAGTTGTTCCGTCTACGCAACCGATCCGCGCACAACCCGTAAGTTTGTATAACCCGCCGACACACATGCAAAATATTGATATTGAAGATGACGACACAACCTCCGTGTTTGGAAGTGCTATTCAAAACCATATAGGTGATGAAATAGAGATCGGTATGGAGTTTGAAAACAAGGAAGCTTGCGTTCTCGCTCTGCAGCATTGGCACATAACACACTGTGTGGATTATTGGGTGTATCAGTCTGACAATGAACGATATGTCATTCAGTGTAAGAAACAAGACTGCAGGTTCAAGTGCAGAGCTTCATTTAGACGAAGGAACTCAAAATGGGTGATCGGTAAGCTGTCTGGGTCTCACACATGCACTACGACATCGATGGCACAAGACCATAGGAAGCTCAGTTCAGAAATGGTTTGCCATAGCATCAGAGAACTTGTCAACAGCGACGCCTCACTTAAGGTAAAAGTGATCGTTGCCCATATTCTAGAAAAATACGGGTACATCATATCTTACCGGAAGGCGTGGATCGCTAAGTGCAAGGTGGTAGAGTCGCTTTATGGCAATTGGGAAACATCGTACAACGACCTACCGCAGTGGATACTGGTAATGAAAACCTTTCTTCCAGGAACCATTATAGATTTGCAAACCCTACCTGTAACATCAAGTGATGGTTCCCAAAACTCCGGAAAACGAATATTCCATCGTCTGTTTTGGGCATTTTGTCCGTGTATACGTGGTTTCGCCTACTGTAAGCCTATTATGCAAGTAGACGGGACATGGTTGTACGGAAAGTACAGAGGAACTCTATTGACGGCGGTGGCACAGGATGGCAACGCAAATATTTTCCCAGTGGCATTCGCATTGGTCGAAGGAGAAACAAAGGAAGCCTGGAGTTTTTTTTCTGAGGATCCTACGATTACACGTGACACCACAACCGAATTTATGTCTAATATCTGATAGACATGAATCGATAAAAAGTGCATACAACAATCCTGAAAACGGTTGGCAACATCCACCCTCTTCACATGTCTACTGCATAAGACACATTGCTCAGAACTTCATGCGCGAGATTAAGGACAAGGTTCTACGCAAAACACTTGTTAACATGGGTAACAAAATAAATACCGCTTATCTAAAATTTTGTGGCACGTTTTTATCATTTTTTCTCACACAATTCTTGATACAGGTTACGCATTGACGGAGGCTTCATTTAATTATTATCGCGGAGAAATTAGAAGATCCAACACTGAGGCTTTAAATTGGATAGACAATATTCCTAGGGAGAAGTGGGCTAGAGCATTTGACAGAGGGCAACGTTGGGGACATATGACATCTAACTTAGCAGAAGCAATAAACTTTGTACTAAAGGCCACGAGAAACCTTCCCATCACGGCATTGGTCCAGTCTACATATTATCGAATGGGTTCACTATTTGGTAAACGAGGACACAAATGGACCAAGATGCTATCTTCAGGGAAAGTTTTCACAGATGGTTGTAACAAGGGAATGGCTGAGGAGGTAGCCAAGGCTAACACACACAACGTCATGCAATTTGATCGGGAAAGATTTTGTTTCATGGTGCAGGAAAAGATTAATTACAATGATGGTCGTCCAACAGGTACTTTCAGCGTTGACTTGAGGAATCGTAAGTGTGACTGTGGAAAATTTCAAACATTTCACTTGCCTTGCTCCCACGTGATAGCGGCATGTTCTAGCATACGACAAGACTATGCAATTCACATTCCAGAGGTCTTCACAGTACTTAACGTATTCAAGGTTTACAAGGAAAGCTTCCTGGGACTACCACACGAGGAGAACTGGCCAAAATATGAAGGTTTCACTCTGTGCCACGACGATTCAATGAGAAGAAATAAAAAGGGGCGTCCAAGAAGTAGTAGAATTAGAACTGAGATGGATGACGCAGAAAAAGAGAAGAGACGGTGTGGGATTTGCAGAGAAATAGGTCATATGCGTAGTAAATGTCCTAATGTTGTCGGTCCGTCAAACCGACCGAATAAATAATTATATTGTACTACTTTCGTATTTGATCCATCAATAATTATTAATTCAAAAGAACTTTCAAAATACAACAAAAGCAGCGAACTACAAACATAAAGTTGATCCTTTACTCCACAAACACAAAAATAAAACTCATGAAGCTCACATAAACTCTAACATACAACAGCGACCAACACAAGTGGATCTGTGACTCCTCTGTTGACTTCACCGCTATGTGTTGAAAACATGCAATGGACATCTTCATCGTTTTCTATACGATCTAGGTAGTACATGTACGTCCCCTCCGGGCTAGCATCAGTAAGCGTTATATATGGACAACGATACTCAATTTTTTTCACCGTCACGCGGCGACCGACCAGCTGCCGAAACCCGGTGTTAATTGCTGCAACCACGGTTCTGAAATTCCACAGCGGATCTAGGAAAACACTGATTTTTTTCTCAGGTCCATAGAAAACATGAGCTTCCACAGACATCTTTATAATTCGGATAACTTGACACGAATGATAGTAAATCGGATAAGCTTATTTATACAAGAAATTTATGTCTGAGTTCGGTCATTCAGTGACCGAGAGTCTGTAAAAATAATTTACATATAAAATTAATTAAATAGTTTTTTTCTTAAATTAATTTAATAGTTTTTATACAAAATTAATTAAATAATTTATATATTAAAATAATTATATTAATTGAATATAGTTTATATTAAATTAATTAAATAATTTTAATATAGAATTAATTTAATTTTTTTTATTAAATAGTTTATTTATTACTTTAATTACATAGATTAAATATATTTTGTAGACAATATATTTTAAATAAATAGTTTTAATATGGAATAATTTTTTATGTTTTATATTAAATATATTTTTTATTATTTTAAATAAAAATATTAAATATATTTTTTATTACTTAAATTAAAAATATTAAATATATTTATTTGAAAATCTGAAAAAATTAAAAAAAAAAAAAAAAAAAAAAAAACCTTCACACGTTCGCCCTTTCAATGGGCGAACTCACTCATGCTGGTATTTTCTGCCAGTTCGCCACTTCATTGGACGAACGTCTTCAATGCTTTTCCCTAGTTCGTCCTTCTGTTGGACGAACTCTTCCAAAAGTAGGGTATGCACGTAAATATATTTCAAACTGGGGTGTTATGGTATTTAGGGTTTCAAACTAGGGTATATAGGTCAAAAAATCACTTTTGCAGATGATGTGCTTCTATTTTGTAGAGGAGATGACATATCAATGCAAATGATTTTAAATGCTTTCAGAGATTTCTCCAATTCCACAAGTTTGATAATGAACCCTAACAAGTGCAAAATCTATTTTGGAGGGTTGGATAATGAGAGCAGAAAGACCTTGAAAGAGCTGTCGGGTTTCCAAGAAGGAACGTTACCGTTCAAATATCTAGGAATCCCACTGTCTAGCAAGAAGCTAACCATCAACCATTTTATGCCTTTGGTGGATAAAATAGTGGCTAGAATCCATCATTGGTCCTCTAGACTCCTAAGCTATGCAGGAAGAATACAGTTAGTGAAAAGTATATCTGCTGCAATGGTGCAATACTAGATGCAATGTCTCCTTATGCCCAAATCTGTGATCAGAAAAATAGACTCCATCTGTCGAAGCTTCATCTGGACCGGTAAGGATACGATAAGCAGAAAATGCCATGTGGCATGGAAACGCACCTGCTGCCCGACTGCACAAGGTGGGATGAATCTGCTGAATCTTCAGGTATGGAACAATGTGTTGTTCCTGAAATGTTTATGGAATCTGTGTAACAAAACTGATACTTTGTGGGTTAAATGGGTCCATACTCACTACCTGAAGGATAAAAGTGTGATGAATTATGAAACCAAAGCACACAATTCTTGGATTATGCGCGGTATTTTGAAACAACGAGATAACATGGAGGTAATCTGGAATGAATGGGACCAAGTCATGAATGCGCACAAGTTTAAAGCTTCGGTGTTTTATAAGTTGCTGATTGATGATGGCACAAGGGTGCTTTGGAGAAAATTGATAAAATCCAACAGGGAACGGCCGCGAGCAGTGCTTTGCTTATGGCAAGCTTGTCATGGGAAGCTTGCAACCAAAGATAGGTTGAAACAATTTGGGATGATTGAGGACAGCAACTGCAATTTATGTCATTCCGAGAAAGAAACGATGAATCATCTATTATTCTGTTGCCAAGAGACAAGACACATATGGAAGGAAGTGCTCAAATGGTTTAACATTTATCATGAACCTCAACCATGGGATGCAGAGCTGGTTTGGATCACCAATATAACAAAGGGAAAGGGATGGAAAGTTGATGTTTTGAAGATGTTAGTAGCTGAAACCATATACAACATTTTGGGGTATAGGAATAGTAAAACTTTTGAAAACATTGTAGATAATACTATTAGAAGTAATTCATATTTAGTTGTACTATTACTTAGCCCCTAAGTTTGTTAGAGGGTATTTTAGTATTTTATCTTATTCTAGTAACCCTAGTTTTATCTTATAAATAGGGTTGCAATCATTGTAATGTTTACGTGAGTTGTGTAGCCGTCATTCTCTTTAATAGAATATTTTTCTTTGTTCATCATTTATTCACCTTTGCACCAACAATTGGTATCAGAGCTCCGGTTCGGATTCATTGGGAAACACGGGAAACACGAGTGAACGTGAGGCCTTGTGTGTTTGATTTTGTTTCTTAGATTCGTGTTGAATCTTGAACAAAATCTGATCAGATTTTTAATTCTGTGGGTTGGGAAACACTGTGTGAGAAATCTGAGTGTACTGTGCAAGGTAGAAGATGAACGGAAACGGCAACATGAACACCAAACTTCCAGTATTTGACGGTAAAAACTGGAATCGTTGGATGATCCAAATGCGTGTACTGTTTGGTGCTCAAGATGTTCTAGATCTTGTCACTAATGGTTATGTTCCGGTAGCAGCAGATGCGATGGATGAACAAAAAAACGCGCAGAAGGAAGTAAGGAAGAAGGATCAAAAAGCATTGTTCTTCATTCATCAATGTGTGGATGTAAATGTGTTTGAGAAGATTGCAGATTCAACGACAGCAAAGGCTGTGTGGGACACACTGTTAAGATGTTATGGTGGTGACGCATCAGTGAAGAAGGTGAAGCTTCAGTCCTTGAGAAAGCAATATGAGAATCTCAACATGAAGAATAATGAGAAAGTCTCTGAATACATCTCCATAATGATTCTGATCACTAATGAGATGAAGGCATGTGGAGAAACTCTTTCTGAAGAAGAAATCATGGAGAAAGTATTGAGATCCCTTACCTCTCAATTTGATTACATTGTGGTAGCAATAGAACATTCCAAAGATCTGAGCACCATGAGAATTAAAGAGCTGCAGAGCAGTCTAGAAGCGCAAGAGTTGCGTTTGACTGAGAGAACTTCTGAAAAGGAAGTAGAGCAGCAGGCTCTGAAAGTAACTTCGTATAGGAGGTATCAGAAGCTGTTAGAAGCCAGGAAAAGATCTGATGGTGGTCAGAAGTCAGTAAGCTCAACCTCTGATAGACAAAAGAATGCTCAGAAGGGAAAAGAGAAGTATGACAAGAAGAAAATCCAATATTACTGTTGTAAGCAGTTTGGTCACTTTGCTAGAGATTGTTGGTCAAACAAGAAGAGAAAATCAGAAGAAGCAAATATAGCCAGAAGTTCTGATAACGAATCTGTGCTATTGATGGCCTCTGAATCTGATGATATGGATCTGATAGACTGGTGGTATATGGACACTGGCTGTTCAAATCATCTTACTGGAAACAAGAAATGGTTGGTTGACTTTGACTCTGAAAGAAGAACAAAGATCATATGTGCTGATGACAAATATCTTAACGCAGAAGGTATGGGAAATGTCAGAGTGATTCTAAACAATGGGAAAACAGCATTGATTCAGAACGTGTGGTATATACCTGGCATCA